AAATATGAACAACTGTGATGCAGTCCCGTTATCACGTGATGTTGTTCGCAGATGCGGAAGAGTTGTTACCTTTTATGTTGGTACATGGTTATGCACGCTCAGCGTGGTCAAATACCACGTTATCGCGTGCGTGCATGCGTGATAAAACGAACAGTAACTTTAAACACTTTTCAAACATAAATAAACATTAGTAAAGTCCTATCACTATAAACATAAATAAACATTAGTAAAGTCCTATCACTATACCAGTGAGCTACCAAAACCTTTTCATATGCAGTGGAAAGGGCCCTGGGCGGGACCGGGAGAGGGCGCCATTTTCATAGCAACCGAAACTCTCGATTGGTAGGAATTCCACTTAGCTGGTTCTCGAACGATTATGACACGCGTGCGTTAATGCGTTACGTGCGCGTTGTTACTAACAAAAATGAAAACTCTCCTCCAGTATGGCTCTTTTCAACCGATGAGGGGAAGCGTCCTTTTTTGGTTTCTCGGCCAAGTTCCTCAAGCGTTAAGTATGTAGTAACTTCCATGCGTTTGACTGCGAGTTAAATGAAACTAGTGTGACTGGACAACGGGTTCACTTGACTCTATTGCAATAGATTTGTCCCTTTCCCAAAAGCTCAGCTTCTTTTCCGGCTCCTACTTCACCGCTGTTCTCAGAACCATTTGTGAGCATTTAGCATTTGGAAAAAAACGAGCTGGTTGCCGTCCTTTACTTCATACCGTACTATTTAATGTTCCTTTGATGAAAGCTTGACCACGATGAGCCGAAGTCTCAGAAGCCAGACGCTACAAAATGACGCTAAACACAGCGGAACTAAAACCGAGGTTTCAGGAAGACAACAAGTGTACATCCGCTTCGAGCAGAAGCACCCCCTCATCGGTTGAAAAAAAAGCCATATTGGTCGGGAGTGTTCATTTGGTTGGCAGCGATGCGACCGTAACACTGCATTTTATGGTTGCTCGTGAACTAGTTAAGTTCAGTTCCGACCAAGGGATCCTCCGTTGCTAAGAAATTGCGCCCTCCCTTTAATAGTCCAGCTCGAGGCTCATGGGGCTTATAAAAAGGCACTCTTGGTGAAAAGAATGCCAGAAGCTCAGGGCTAATTTCAAGCGGCACAGACCTACTGGAGGGTTTCTATTTTTTAGAAAGAAAGAGAGAGACTGGCTTGACCCGGGAAAATTTTAGAGGCTCCCCATGCAATCGCAAATTTATTGATCGCCGTCATCAATATTTCTAGTGAAAAAAAAAACACCAACATGCATCCGACAACAAATACGCCGATGGACTGTGGTCCATTTGTAATCGGCACCTTTTAGCATCGTTTACTCATCAGTTCGCAGGCGTTAAGGTTGAAACGGGCTGTGCTTAATATTATTCGGTTGATTAGATTGTACTGGCAAAAAATATCAGTGGTAGCGCATGGATTTTAATGACCGCATCATATCAACTTTTGGCTGACAACGATAAATGTAAGTTACAATGTAACACTAAAAACTGAAATTTCACATTTCTGATTTTCATTTTGTGAGAAAAAAGGTGTTAATATTTTGTAGTAAATATTTATTGTAAATATAGTCTAGTAAAAGTGTTAACATTTATAGTAAATATGAGGAGACAGGAGCGGGCCACACGCTCCGTCGACCCCCACATGTGGGATGTGGTTGGCAACGCCCCTCTTTTCGGCGGAAAATAAGAGGTTGCTGGGAAACGCCTTCCGTGGTTGGGGCCATGCTGGCACTCAAGGGAGTCCGACCCACGGCGACTGTCAATAATGGCGTGATTCGTACCTTTCTATTGCGGGTTATCGGCTGCAATCAACATCATCATCATCCGCAGATGGACAAGATCAGGGCGGAGAAAAGGTGGTGCTGAATGAGCAGCGGAAATCTGGATTGTTAGCTGAAAGCAAGCATCTCAGAGAGAAGGGAAGATCTGGCACAGTCATAGTGAAGGCACACTTAGGTTGGATTGCGAAAGAAAGGGAGATGTTACAAAAAATAATACTGATCAAAACAAACCAAACAAAATACAACGAAATTCAAAACAAAACAAGAAAAAGAAACGAAATAAAACAAAACTAAATTGAACAAACAAACAAACAACCCAACACCCAACAAACAAACAAAAATTCTCTCATAATACTGGTAAATGAGCAGTATTTTACTGTGTTTTTGCAACATTAATCTACTGTAAACGAAGTAAACAAACGAGCTTGTTTATACACGTATTTACTTTGCTTTTGTGAATGCAGTACAATGTATTTAACAGTAATGTTTTTACGGGTTTAAGCTTTGACCTCAATTTGCATATTGACACAAGTGGGGTGTTGCTACTTTTGCTAAGTAATTTTGTGTTTTTCCATTCTTTACGCAAGTATTACATTAGTCTGACAAATGTTTGTGCTTTTTGGATGTAGTTTTACACGGAAATGCGAACCATTGCCTAAAAAGATAAATCAAAAATAAAAAAATCTTACTTTTTCATGTTTCAACCATGATTGCACGTGAAAGCCAGACATTGCACTATACACCACGTCAGCGCACTTAAAATAAAGTTCTGCCGCGATCGAGGCTTCTGAAAACGAGATACGTGTATCTTATACGTAATTATAGTTGCAAAAGTTAAAAATTAACGTGAATCTGAGAATCCTTTATCAACAGAACGGATACCTAAATTCACGTGTAGAATGGGGGAACCCGCAATCCATGAAAACGGTAACTTGCTTGTCTACTGTCTACGTCAAGTTAATTGAGATAAGTTACTGATGTTTTTACGGTTAATTACTGCCCGATAAATGACGACGATTTACTGTAAATCATTACCAGTATACCACTACTGGCGCCCGTGCTGCCAGTAGAGTACATGTACTCTGGAAATTTACAGGAAAAAATTTACAGTGTACCGTATTTACTTGTGCATTATGGTATAAATACAAATGTATATTAACTGGGGACAATCTCCGAACGGGTTTCACTGGAATTCTGAAGCTACGTCGTTTCATCTAGTGTCAGCCTTCTCTCCAGTTATTCACAACTGAAGAAGAACTAGGCGTAGCTCTGGAAACAAACATTCGGAAATGGCCTTGTTCCTTGTGGATTACACCTGGGAGGAGTAGGCCTTGGAAACTTGCGCGCCCTCTGCAGTCAACTGCATGATGGGATCACCCTTTGAGTTAGGCTTACGAGCGCGATAAATTGCTGAAGATACTTGTGAAAAATCCGCATTCACAGAATAACCGGAAAGCACTCAAGGAACACCGTGGTGATTCGAAGAAGGCATTCAAAGAAAAAGGACGCCTATCTCCATTAGTTATTTTTTTTCTCAAGCACAGATTTTAAGGGGTAACATTGCTCTCTACAAACTATTAAAAATTAAAAAGTATCATCAAAGCTGGGATATTCTTTTCAATATATTTTTGCCAAAAATACAACATACAGTTCAAAGATTAATAGCACATGTACGCTGTCTACAAATCATTACAAACAGCACTTGTTCGTATAAAAAGAGACGTCGACAAAGTGTCTAGTATTGGCCGAGCTGCAAAAGCATTCGCAAGTTGGTCACAATAAATCTACGTCATCCTGCTTCCGAGGACCGAACGGTTGATGGAGTAATGAAGCACCAATTTCATCCAAGGGCCAGGGGCCCCAGTAACCTTGCGTGTCGCACTCGGTGAGCGCCCTGGAGATTACACTACACTCCAATGGAGAGTGACTCTGTTCATGGCCGACTGCATTACTTTTTATCGAGACCCGATCAAAGGGACCTCGGTACGGTTGGCGTGTCTCTTCTTGACAGTGTATTTTAATAGCTTTGTGGCTTGGGCAATGATTTGTGAAAATGCAAACTCGGCCAGTATTGACGGTCTTCGTACATCGACAGAAACCGTGAGCGCACGGTCCCGTTTCGGCGCAACGGCACTCGGTGTGTGGGTAGTGAAGATTCATTTATCACAGTGTTTGTCCTCCGAAATGATCCGCGAGGACTATACGACCGAACAATAACAGGCCAGAGCTTTCAGAAGGTTCAATGACGCATTAACCCATTTTTTTCCCGGAATGTAAAGAGACAACGAAAAGGAATTGTTTTTTTCGAAACATTATCTGCTAGTCACGTCAAGAAAGATAATTAATGATTTATAAATTGAACGTGCAAATGTAACGAGGCTTTTGTATGCATAAAACCCTGTTTTTACACACTAAAGCCGAGACAAACATTATTGTAAAGAAATGATTCAAGAGACACAATCACTCAATTTAAACTGTGGACAGACTCCAAACAGGTTGGGGAAAAAAAAAGATCGTTGGACCACCGTGTCCGAGATGATAGTCTCGATGGGGATAATGAGCGAGAATTCCCATAGAAGGGAAGACTGACAGCGCTTTTGTTGCCGGAAGAAACATGGAGGGGCACTCTCAAAACTCGGATCAGACTACTCGCAACTCATCGGTCAATCTTACTGAGCCACTGTGATTACTTTGCAGTGAGATGGTACATCAAAACGGCCCCAATTAAAACTGAAGCAAATTTTCTGTAAGAGAGCCGCTGCCGTGTCTTCTCCTTGTATAAAAATGATGTTTCCCATTCAGAATGCTTTTAAAAAGCCTCTTGGACAGTACCAAACATTGCCGTTTAACTAAACCAAACGGAAACGTAATGTGTTTTCTCTCGTAGGCAAATCATTAATTTTTGCGGGAAAAAACCCACACAAAGTCATTACGTAATATGTCGCTCTAAAGACACGAATGCACGATTTTCATATCAAAAGGCGATGCAGCTGTAGAGTTGAATAACTTATGATATGTTGGTTATATTCTATGACGACATTCCAGGTTCATTTAACCTTAGAAACACATACAGTGATCAGCTGAAGTTGTAAAAAATGAAATCAAATCATGGCCGACTTTGAAACTAAGAGGCATGGTTACCAGCAACCGGTAATGGCAAAACAAAACACAAAAAAAAAGAAAAAGAAAAGAAAGAAGAGACGAGAGGCCCAGGTGACTCCCGAGTAGTTAATTTAATTGAATACATTCTCTGTGATCGAAAACCAACAAATCATCGGGCTAGCTGATATCATTTCCGTCCATTACCAACGGCACTATTTGGTTACCGTTCAATCTCGTGTTGGCGTGCGTGGTTACAGCTAAAATTACCCACGCCTAATTTGATCAAGTTGTGCAGCATTTACCACATCCAACCGCACGTTTACTTGGACGGGGCGTATTTATAACGTCTGCTATTGGGAACAGTGAATACGGGAGGACAGGGGAAGGTGGCGTGGCGTTACCTAAGTACACTAACATCGCCCTCTGTTGGTCGCTAGTGTCAGTTCATGGATGATGGAATGGGCTCTGTGAGTGGACAAAAGAGGGAGCTTTTTTTATGTCAGGCCGCGCCCGAATCACTGGGCAGCGGCTTCAAGATTATACACAACTCAACTCATGGGTGGCGTTCGGGGGTCTCTCTCCTCCCCCTGCCTCTTTTCTGTTCACCGGTGGGGAAATGGACTTATGCAAGGAGCCAGTTGGTTGCACCTTTTTTGTTGACCTTTCACGGTCATCGCCACTGTCTAAATACTATCTGCAGTGGGTGTGTGAAGTGACAAGTTATGGTGCATCGTTTAGAGAGATTTGAACCCTCGAGCTCCAAGTTTTCATGAACACAGCCTAAGCCCTATGGACAATTTATACAAAGCGACAGGAATACCAAAGATATGATTCTTAAATTACGAAAATAGAGAGAAAAAGAAAACAACGACAGCTGTAAACTGTGCGTGGTAAACACTCTGAACATCAACGTTTATTCACAGAGTGCTGGCCAAATTGGCCAGCGTGAAGATGTTAATAACAGTCAAGTTGTGCCCCGTGGCACGATGCGATGACCTCACTGAGCAAAAGAAAGATGTTATCAAGTTCGCTTCCCCTAGAAACACTGACGTGAGGGGCAAGAACCGCTCGTGATATCCCAGTGATTACATTACATCTGCCCTTGGGATGATTCTCAGCGGTAGTTTCTTTTCGCTCTTCCCGCAACCATCGACTCGCAGTGTGACTCGCTGGTTGACGTTGATACCAGTCTCAGTCTCGAGGCACCGTTTGCACAGGAGGGTGGGCAACCGGCCGAGGGTTGACGACTCCGCCGACGAAGACTTCATTTTGTGCGAGCACGCACTGATGTTAGAGCGGAAATTCGATGCGATAACGGGGCGACTCAAGCCGAGGTTTAATCAAAACCAAGTGCGTGACTCAAGACCAGTACCGTCCCCGTCGTTGGATGCACTGAACAAAATGCCAGGTGCGGCATCAAACCATAAAGTCGCTAAATTGTCAATTTCTCCATCGTGACATTAGCCCTAGCAGTAGTTTTAATAGGTACTTTCCATAACACTGTACGCCTATGCTGGACAACGCTGAATTATGCACAGGCAAGACCAGATCGGGTGACATATCAGCTTGAGATCCGGTTTATATGCTTAAGCATTCTAGCCACGAAGTGTTTCGGGTGGTACGATCCCTCGGGGTGTGAGGTTGAATTCTGAATCTGTTCTTATCTCACAGAAGCGGTCTCGCAGGCCTATATCAACAATTTCTTACATCTGCCACTATAGTCATCCGACACTTAAAATCCCGTAGGCTCAGTTTGGGGTCTCGATTTTTGTCTGGAGTGATTTTTCCATGATCCATTTTGTGAGAGTTTGTTTACTGTCACAAAAAGCCCAGTTTTGGAAGATCATACAATTTCCTGCCAAATTTGTAACTTTAATTTTTCATTGTAAGGAAAAGGCATTTACTCCAAAGCGTGCTGTCAATGTCGGTAAGTCTGGATGATTAACGTGGCATGTGTATCACATAATACGATAAGAGACAACGGACAAGCTTTTAACAGTTCGTACCGTAAAATCCTCGCTTGTTAACAGCAGTGGGTAGTTTGATCGGGTGAACTGAAACACCTTAGTGTCGGAGACAAAAAAATTCGCAGCTGAAATCATTCGCCTTGTCTTTTCTCCGAAGAGAATTTGCTACTTAGGTAACCACTCGGCCAAGAGGAAAGCATAGGAGGTGGCTCCAACCCACAGAGAATATAACGATTAATGTTGGTATATGGAATGAGTTGATAGAACTTGTTTTGTGTTGGGTATGGTGCAATGGAAGGATCTAGCAGCTCGCTTCCAATCCAGATAAAGAACTGATACCGCCATGAAGTTTAATAAATGTGCAATCCCAGGGCAGTAGGGGCAACTTCTGTTCACTGAGTGTGTTGAACGTAATACCCGTAGACTGCGTTAGTAAGCTTCCTCAGCGCTATTAATCGAGTGAACTCCTATCGACATCGCCCCACCCTTGTCCATGGTTTTCACCGTGGTGACTGTTGTCCTTTTGCTGACGGTGTTGAGCGGGTTGCTACCGCCGGCCACGGCTGTCGGTCCCAAGTCGGTGACCATGGACGAGTCGCTCACCGCGCCGTACTGACGACAGAACAGTCTGACCACCGAGGTCCGGAACTGCTTGTTCTTAAAGGTGTAAATGATGGGATTGACGCAGCTGTTGAAGAAGGCCAAAATGATAAAGGCCTGGTGGGCATTGCTGTCGAAGTGATCGAAGGAAAGGACGTCCAGGTTCATGAGGAGTAGAGAGATTTGGTCCGGAGTCCAGCAGATGATGAAGGTGATAATGACTATCAGGACGATGTGGATGATCCTCCGCCGGGTCTTGAGGACCGAGAGGGCGGGACCGCTCTCTGGGGCGTTGCTGCCACCTCTGTGGCCTTGCAGGTTGCTTGCCTGGGACCTCAAGGCCTTGACAGTGAGACCGTTGCAGGTGATCATGACGACGATGGGGACGAAGTACTCAACGAGGGCCACGCCCACGGCGACGAGCAGGTTGAAGCCCTTAGGGAAGCTGATGTAGTCACAGCCGGTGCCCTCCTTGATCTCCGTATTGTAGAAGTTGAAGGACTTGACGCCGACGGCGAAGATCCAGATGATCCAGACGAAGCGCTTGGGCCAGGACTTGGTGAAGAGGTTACGGTAGCGGATCGGGTGCACCACGGCCAGGTACCGCTCCACTGACAGGAGGGTCAAGGTGTAAACGGAGGCCTCGATGGAGATCCAAAGGAGGGGCTGGGAGAAGATCAGACGACAGTAGAGCTCTCCCCAGATGTTCATGGGCACGCGTCGCAGGACGGGCAGGGGGATGAAGTTGACGGAGCTGATCAGGTCGGCGCAGGCCAGCGCCAGGATCAGTACGTTGGTGGAGTTCTTCTGCTTCTTTTTGCCGCAGTAGGCGGCAATGACCAGCGAGTTGCCGCAAATGCCGAGCAATCCCAGAATCAGCTTGCAGATGTTTTGCCAAGTCCAACTGAATTCGACGGGCGGTGAGACAGGCAGATTGGTAGTGAAAACTGCCTCCATGGTGACAGGCTCCCTGGTTTGACAGGTAAACTACAGCAAGTCGTGGATTGTCAATATACACAGGAGCTGTTGAAGGAAACAAAAATGGTTCTTGAAATTACTTGGAATGACACAACCACACTGTAATCCTTGTTAATAACAACTAAAAAAAAACAAAAAATAAGAGTGAAGTGAAGTGAGTGAAGAAAAACACGGAGGCGTAATCCCTAGGACAAAAAAAGAAAAGATGAGAAATAGTAATGGGAAAGCAATGGCAACGGGTTATTTCCTGCAAAAAAACTGAAACTTCAATCGTCCTTTGACGGCCTGGGAAAATACGCACTGACGCAGCGTTATCTTTTTCCTTTATCCAAAACCTACCCAAGATACCTTCGTGGCGTGCGCGAACATGTCACGTGGCTGTAGCAAGGAACAAGCCAGTTTGCTGCCAGCAGGAGACATGAAGATGTACCGCAGACAACCGGAATCGGATCAACTTCAAGACAACCTAAGCACATTTGTCGACACGCCGAGGTACGGTGTCCTCTTCACAGCCACACAAACAAACAACATCTGCACGGTGCCAACTAGAGGCTCACAATTAAACGGAGTATGCCTCACCACGATATTCAACTGAACTGCTCACTTCGCAGAAGACTGAAAATCGGACACATCTCAATATTTCTACCTTCAGAAACAGGTATACAGAAGGAAAGGTCTGCCAGATTTTACCTCGCACGCATTCCACCCCACTGCATTCCGTATACTTCTGGTCTCCACTGTGCACAAGGCATGCATGTACCAGGAAGTCTTAAATCCAAAATGCTATATGTCTGGTCGAGCGACCTTTGTATTATTATTTTGGATAACGATCAGCGTTCCCCGATTTTCAAGTATTTAATTTGTTTCTAAAGGGGGGTGTCTCTGAAGAGATAAACCTCGTTTATCAAACGAATCTGTGACAGGTTCCTCAATTCCTCAGTCAAGTTGTCTATTTGTTGTGGAAACTCCTGTTTCGACCAAGACATTCTATTATTGCAATCTGCACGCATACAAACGGCATCATTACGCTGATTTACATCTCAACAATAATCATTTTTCTCTTCCCCAAACCACACTGAATCTCTTTTGTCACGCTCGCTGGTACCTTTTAAGGTAAACTGTGATGAGCTGGCTAATGCCCGGCATATTTCAGCAGACGTGCCGTGAAACGTCTGTTAAAATTGCATCAAATTGTAATGCTGAAGCAAATATACTCTGACAGAAGACAACTTCTAAAATTACTATTTATGAGAGGAAGGCAAACTGACTGATATCAAAAATTTATTCGGGATTGCCACCAGTACTAAGTGTTCTTCGTGTTGGGAATGTGCCATTTGTGTGCAGGGGTGGTATAATAATGGTGCTGAATGCGTCTTTTTTTCTTTTCTTTTTTTACTTGGTTTGGTTGGGGACTTTCTCTTAATTATGGCATAGGTAGGATGAAAGAAAAATGAATCTTTACGTTTTCGAGCACATTTAAAACAATACAAATTGATGACACGATAGCTATAGAACCTTGATATAAATTTTCACTAAATAGATCGTTTACTGCAATGCAGACAACAGCGGAAGCATGAGGCAAGATTAGTCCAGATTTGGTACTAAGACGTTCATTCAATCTAACACGGACATGAATTGGCAAGGCTGACGGCTCTCTGGCGCAGGGGAGACACTTTGCTGTAACACCACGCCCGTCTCTTTCCCGAGGGAAGACCCAGGACGGGGTAATCTCGGCATGTCACGCAGGGGTGGTTCCAGGTGTCCATCGCGTCAATACCTTTCTCCACGCTAATTCATCTGCTCTTTCTCTCATCACGCACGATGTCTCCAAACAGTTCCTTAATAATGGAGCTTAGAGCCGTGAGTGATGCAGTCGGTTAAGCGCACTTCGCACAAATCTGCGTTCAGTGAGGCAGCCACATCCGTGTCAGTGTGGGCGGAGTCACTTCTAATCCCCCCCCATGCTGTTGCGCTCCACTGCGTTTTAAGAGGCTTTGTCAAATTAGAAGTCTTCTTCCAGTTGAGAGTATATCAAGATTGCGACTGCGCATAGGAGGCGAGTTTTGACGTTCGATAGCCAATCGTAAGCAATTAAACTTCGTGTCAAGTATGAGCCCCGAGCTGGACCAAGAGAGGGGGCAATTTTTCCCAGCAACGGTGACTCCTTTAGTGGACACAGCACTTCGATGGTTCGCAAACGATTATGAAATACACGCGTTGTGGTCGCGACCGTCGCGTCGCTACTTACAAAATGAACAGTCCCCACTGAAATGGCTCTTTTCAACCGATGGGGGGTGCTTCTGCTCAAGGCGGATAGCAAGCAATTCAAATAAACTGAAAGTGTCAAAGGACGTTCCTTTATCAAAAGGGTTAGGGATATTTTACTTCCGTTTATTCTCATTAACTTGTGAGCTGACCTGGGATAGACTTTAACCACAACACAGGTTTTTACTGTGAGAAATTTATGTGAAGCAAAAAAGCTACCTAAACTCTCGAAAGGTATTCCGCTGTGCCATGCATACACTGTATAGAACGTCGCAGTGGAAGCTTCATTTAGTAAGCAAAGATATTTTCTGAATGACTGACTTTTAAGTGGTCTCTACGTAGAAATGACGAAGTCGTTTATCTTCTACGAGACCCACAACCACAGACAAGTAACACAGACGGGGAAGTCATGTCTGGAACTCAAAACCAATTACACGACCGAAAATCCTTGCCAAACACTGCCACTGCGATCCCTTTGAAAAACTCAGCTCCGGCGGCGAAACGGAAAATTGACGTCGTGAGACTAAAAGGTTTAATATCCCCGTCCTTGACAGAAAAAGAATTACTTCGTCATATTCAGACCCACATTTCTGGAACGATAACAAAGAGGGATTAATGTGAGTCCAGCCCAAATATCCTTGCGGCCTCTAAAATAAGAAAAGCTCTTTATTCTCTCCGCACGCCATTTTGTAATGACCAAATCGTACACGCTGCGGTCCTTTTTGTCAGTGCGTCGCTCAATAATTATTTTGTCCATAATGTTCTCGTGGTTTTTATTAAAAAAATCGAAGTTAACTATGTCGCAGTCGGGCGCAACAGTCGCTGTACACAAGCATTTCGCTTAGATGGCAACCTGGAGTAAGAAACGACTTACACCGCAGTGCATCATCTATAGTTGAGCTTTTCTCATGGGTTCTGCACAACAAAATCAATACATGTAGTCCGACTAAGATATCAAACTATGCAGGGCTGGGTTTGGAGAAGCAAACGACTGTGGAGGCTGTTCATTACAAAAGGTGACAATGTCTGAAACGGTTAAGTTATGACTGTCCAAGTTTGGTAGCAGTGGCTTAACTAGGGGTAAATTTCAGGGGGGGGGGGCATGGGGTGCACACATTTTTTTCCAAAGGGGCACGACAAGAAAACAGGCTGCAGCTGCATGACAATGCATCCAAAATCCAAACTGTTACCAGTCCCTTGAGCCGTCAGGGGCTTTGCGCTCTGCGTATCACGCCCTCATCTACTCTTTGGAAGTGAATGACGCCCTCGACTTTACAGGAGTTGAAACACAGATGTTGTGGGGATCTAAACCATCAGGATGGGGAGAGTGTGTCCTCACAACGCGGTCTAGACTTTCTTAACAAAAGAAACTGTCTACTCAACGTAGCGACTGCATGCTTGGGAACAATTGAGGGTATTCACACACCCTTCCGCCATAAAGAAGCTTTCACTACCTCCGGAACGGGGACAACAAAATCCCCAAATCAATTCTATTCTGGGGAGTTGTTGTTTTATATTAAAATGGCGCTCGGCGTATGACTACCTCATCTGTGGGACGGTGTTCTCATACCTTACTGCGATGAACGAATGGGGCTTTTGAAAGAAATGAATAGAAACAGAAGAATGAACGTATAAGGTTCAACAATAGAGGTGCCCCTTACAACTCGAACCCGACCGAGGACAGGAACACAAAGAAACAATAAACAGGTTAATCCCTGTCCTCGAAAGAAGATCTGTCGTCGAAAACGGTCCTCGGACGTACAACAGTGCTCTGAGTCAATTGAAGGCGGTAGTGATAAATGGAATTAAGGAAAATACAGTGACTTGCCCTGAAACTGAAAACACAACTGCCCATTTCCAAAAGAAAAAAACAACTTGAACAACTTGGGAGTTATTATAAAGATAAATCTTCAGGAATAATCGACGTTAATATAATTTGCACTGAAAGAGTTGCTTACGCAAAAACCAAGGCGATCATTCGGTGTTCGTCGAAGCGCCGAATCACTGGCTAAATATATTTCAGGCAAACGGGCCGAAATGTACTTTTATGGGACTAAACATGACGGAGGCTTCGGGAAAAATCTTTACAGCTGTTCGAAGAAGGAAATTTCACTATAATTAAAACCTTCGCTCTTCAGAGCAACTGACACTGACAGGTACCACGAAAGGACGTAGTCAGATTTCGGCATTCGTTTACATAGTCAAAACAGCACGCTTGCCGATACGTCAATGTCGGGGGAAGCAATAATTGTCTTGATGACAAACACCGGGTGCGCGCGATAGGATCACCCGAGCTCTGTTTCGCATGGGCCCTTGATTAATGCCGAGTTTCTCAAAGCCAACTGGTTCGAACCTCCGAGTTGGCAAAAAAAGATTCGACGAACCGAAGCCCTTCGCGATTTCGCGGAACACGCGGTTGTTTCATAAACGCCGGTTTCTATATCATGCGTTGATCTTATCCAAGAAACAAAGGTGCCCTCATCGATTTGACTAGGCGTCTCGGATTCCTGTGTCAGCGAGGTTAACAAGTCCGTTACTGCACAAGAGTGCGGATGTGTGCTTCAGTCGGGTCAGTTTACTTAAGCCTGGGGAGTTGCAATAGTTGACTCAGGCTCTGCCATCCGGATGATTAAACTTTGGAGTCGCTTAAGTAGCGACAGTGAAGTGCTATCCGAACCAATTTAAACGTTCGATATACAAGAGGAAAAACCTTTCCTCTTCTCAAAAACGAAAAGGTCTCTTGAACAATTCTTCATAAAATGGAAAGTAATGTAAATAAACGAACAATAGAAATGAATACAAAGGATGATGTTAGTTGTGATTCTATAAAGCCGACCAAGCTTAGCTTTGAAGCATTTTAATAAGAATTAATTCGAAGAAACTTCTGATTGCATGCTTCCGAGTGAATATGAATTCATTGAAACCGGTCAGATTTTGGTGAAAACAAAGGCAGGGCATGCAGGTTAACAGTCAGAACTTTGTGTGGTATTCTTCTTCTAAGGGGGAAATTCTTCATAGATTTTCGCTTGGCAGGTGAATGGTCTCTGGTAAGATTTTCCATGACTAAAGCCGCCTTTCCTTTATGCACGTTTTGGGGGTACGTAACGTACAAGATACGTTCGTGCTTTACACTTTCATCTACTCAAAAATTATTGACTCCATTAATATAACACACGTGTGCGTTGTGTTCGTCCATCAAAATTGCCTTGGGAGCGATTCTGACGCATACGCAACTCTTGGCGCAAGTGTTGACGTGCATATAAAAGGGCGCCTTAATACGAACATTTATATTGCGCAAAAATCAACTGCGCATGTTAGGAAAAGCTCGCATGAAAAGATAAGCTTTCAGTAAAGCTTTAAATTCATCAACAGCTTTGCTGGGCTCATTAATTAAACCGGGTCAAAGGTTTAGACGGTTTGTTGACCGTCGCACTTTCGATACTGAGGCCTCTGTCCGAGTCGAGCAACAAACAAGATCATCAACGCAGCTCCTCCGATCAATCACGACCACACGGACATCACCAGGCCGCGGGGATACGCGTGTACAATGGAGTGTTCCTCTGCATAACCCCTCAAATAAAGTACACCCGCCAATTTGCTTGGCATGAGATGGATGTATCCTTTGAGAATATTGTCAATTCAAGTGCAAGCAAATCTCCAAATCCATTCAAAGACGGTAATCTGACGATTTACCATTCAATTTGCCGGGCCCGAGTCCCCTAAGCTCCATGCGGTCGGCGCTGAATCTCGTAGCGCGACGGTACTTCACACACTCTACGGACCCAGGTCCAGATTTCATCAGTCCGAAAGATCCAGGATCGCAATATACGGTCGGACGTGAAACTGTCAAGCTAAGGGCAGTCCTGGCTTTATTGGAAAAGACAAAACAGGCCATTAAGCTGCTCTTGCCCATCATGGCATATTTATATATCGTCTGTGAAATTGCAGATCACTCCACACCGGATTGTTCCCCCCTTTCACTTTTTGATAGTCACACGACATCGACACTATCTTATTTGTTACCACAGACCGTGCTTTACCGATAAAAACACCCTCCAATGTTTAAGGAGCCCTTCCAACTCGGCACTGTCTGAGTAGCGTCAATTTTAAGCAAGGGCTGTTTCTTCTAGTGCTTGTCTTGTTCAAAATGGCGGAAATCGGTGTAATCAATTATTGATTGATGGCTATCGGAAGTGGAGTGTCAGGAGGGAAAATGAGCGATGAACTGATTACGTTGGTTTTTCACCAGCCTGTGGCAGCACAAATATTATTGCCCGTACGCGCAAAAAGACAAATTATAGGCCTATTTGAACATTCCGGAAAGACATTCCGGACGTGGGGACCACGATTGGACATAATAGCATATACAAACGATCATGCTTGATGATGAATACCGTACTTAAACACTTGTTGTCAATAAAAATTATGAAAAGCTCAGTGGATAAAGTACCCTGTCGTAAGCGTGATCAGTCGTACGCTTCCGGTCTAATGGTTGAGCTGGGCCAAAAAGTTGGGCCCCCTGAAAGGTCTCGTTGGTAAAGTACCGTGAAGGGCGCAGAACTAACTCTATACAGGAAAATAAAGCGGAAAGATGACACTCAATAATCGAATCCTACTCTTTCTCGTCTATACATGGTGCCAAAACATGCTTCTTGTGTTACTAGCCTCAGG